GACGTTAATATATTTCAGTCGGTAAAATGAGACGTATTTATGACTCATTTATTGGTTTTATTGAAACGTTATTGACCTTATTGTTTAAAACATTCACTGTTTTCATACTGCTTTCACAAATCCAAAATTCGCTGTCGGTCTGTTTTGACATTGGTGTCACTTTCCCTATTTCACTGGAGTGGTCTGTCATTCGTTGCCAGTTCGTGGCTCTCGTGTCGCCGTTTCAAGGCCATGTCGCTTGTCGGAATTTACCCCTAACAGGGCCTCAGTGGTGACTACAAGAAGTAGTAACTGGATACAGGTCTGGAGTATTTCTACTCCCTAGTTTGACCCTAGCCCATCACAGAGTTTCCCCCAGCATTAAATTCACTGGTACTCATTTATAAACCTGGGTGGAGAGAGGCACACTGAGAGCAAAGTTATCTTGCCTTAGATCACAAGACATTAAAGTATTAACTCTTGCCAGAGCTCACACCTAGACTGCTTGATCTTGAGAGCAGCATGCATGTAACCACTACACCACAGTGCCTCTCTTGCTCACTATTTCCAAATCACCAGGTCATTTCTCCCTCATTTTAAATTCTTTAAATGTTTGTAGTCAATTTGTGTCTTGTGTGATGCCTTCTCTGTGCAAAGTTGTATGTTAATGAGGAAAAATGTAAACAACAACCTCGGCAAAGATTCTCCTATACATTCATGTTTTTGCTCATTAAGTTGAAAGATATAATTATTTTAGGCTTTCTAAATATTTGTGCTTTAAGGACAGGGTCTGGAATATTGGTTTCATTTATTCAGTAACACTGAGTTCAGCTGTTTTAAAGTTTAACTGTTCAAAATATATATCGTTATCACTGAGATATTTTTAGGCCACAAGCCACACCTCTTTACCGGAACTTAGGGAACCAATCAGGATATTGCTGAATGTCAGAAGAAAGTTCAGATACTGGAAAAGTTAAAATACAAAAAAAAAAAATCTTTAAAAAAAACCTTTAGAAACAGATACTGGGATCTCTACACACCACTTGTCTAACAATAATTATTGTATCAGGCATTCCTTATTTTTCCTTCTTCAACTGCCAAGAAAAATAAGAACACCTGTTTGCAGGATAGGTTGAGCCATTGTTCAAATTTTGAAAAGAAGTTGTTTACCCAAAAGTTATAACCACAGTGTGACCAAAAATACAACCCTAGTAATGCTTCCAAAGTGGACCAAAAAAAGGTATGATTAGTGCCATTTAACTGTATCCAGTTTCATAACTACCGTGAACTTCCAAAAGTAACGACCCTCATTAGTTTTGGAATTAGCATCCTTTGGGGCTCATTACTGTTGGGGGCTCATTACTATTGGAGGGTTGTTACTTTCAGGGAGTAAAAAACATTATGGAAAGCTCATATGACTAAGCTTTTTTTGCAGAATAAAAGATGGAAATTTGATCTAAGAACAGTTCTTTAAACATCAAATTAAATTCTTATTCCAGTTTAAATCTATGTTGCTATGACATGAGTGGACTCTTCGTGCTTGTCTGAGGGATGTCTATACCGTGTTGTCAGTGGTCAGCAAGAATTAAAGCTAATCAGATACTGTAAACTGTCCTACTTCATGATGCACTGCTATGTTAGTCTGCTGTAACAATATCTCAGTGCGATGGTCGACTTTTTGATTTAAATTTGAATGATACAGAGTTTTCAATTTCAATTTAAAGAATGTTCCTGTTAGTTCGAGATGTTCCTGTTAATACTTGATTAAATTCTATGGGTTTTGTTTTGACTCAGCGGAACATGAACTGACAAAGCACAAATTGACATTTTACAACACTTCATGCCATAAGTGATACCTTCCTTTGTTGTAGAGTGTCTTAAATCAAGTTACCATACATAACTTTCACCTCACTATTGATTGTAAATAATACATACTACTGAACCTTGGTCTCACAATTTTCAGTGGGGGGAAGGGTGGGATTGCTTCTTTTGTAGGGCTTGCTACTTTTGGGAGGGGGGGGGGGGGGGTCACTTCTTTCAGGATATATTAGCGGCCACAACTTTTTGACGTTACTTTTGGGGCTTCGCTACTTTTGGGGTCGTTACTTTCGGGGGGTCATTACTTTTGGAAGTTTCTGGTAGCCAATCAGAAGCTGGTCTACTGTCCTGATGTGTTGCAATATCTGGTCTTTGGGAGAAGTAGATAAACATTGCAAGTGTACCTTTTTTGTAAAATCTAACTGTAATTTACCTCAACGCCTATGATTAACTATAAGAATCCTGCCATATCAGGTCAGTGACCTGGCATTTATACCTAATTGTACCTTTTCAGTACACTTTAGATTTATATTGATTTTGGTCAAACCATGGTTTGCATTTGGAGAGAGACAGCCAAGGCAAAATACTCATGGCAAAACCAAATGAACCTGATATGCCACCAAAGCATACCAGATAACGTACGATTAGGCATGCTACTATACCCAAATTCACAATTAGCCAATAAGAAGCTGTATAGACCTACTGACCCGATATCCTGCAATATCAAGTCACTGATATCATGCTCACTTGACCGAAATTATGTACGGTAAATACTTAAGGTTACAGTATACCTTCGGGTCAGCAATTTTCTTCAAATTTGGAGTTTTGGGTCAAAGTAGTGGTAGAGGAATAATCTCTAATTTCTGAAAAAAAAATTTGAAAAAGGCTTAATATTGGCGGAGAAATGGCAACACGCGCAGTTTTGAAAACTGGGGAATATCACTCGGATATTCCCCAGTTTTATCTAGGGCATATTCGGTCACGTGACATCTTTAGACCAATTGAGCACGAGTGAAAATATTTGATGGATATAATAAACAGTTAGATAATGAGCTCGAGATTTATATCAAGTGATAGTTGACTTGGGCTGCGTTCTTGTCAACTATCACGTATAGAAATCGAGAATGAATAATCTAATTGTTTTAGTATAAATCTACTAGTCATTCAAAACTTTATCTAAATTTGTTGTTTCAGAAAATATCCATACCCCTCCCACGGAAGGTTTTTTAGCTTGAACCCCCCCTCCCACCCCTCTGGAAATTCCATATTAGTGCCATACTTTCCTTTACAAAATTGGGCTTTTGAAACCCCCCTCCCCCCTTAGAATTTCCGTTAACCTTCCTTGGGGTGGTTATGGATATTTTCTGGAACTACACAATCCTCTTCACTGATACTTTGAAAACGCCAAGAAGCGGCCGTCATTTTGCTAACAAGGGCACACTGCTATGCTACTCACTATCTATCACAGAATAGATAGTGAGTAGTGTAGCCAATCAGAGAACGGCATTCGTGGTAGAAAGCCAGTACATTTATACTAATGTAGGACAGCAGAACAGTATAGACATGGTGTCTGATTGGCTAATTGTGAGTTATATCAATCAATCTATTTACTGCTACCAGCAGTTAGGCTGTAATACTCACATCGCGTTGATTTTCTGTTGCTGTTAACCACAGCTGGTTTATCTGTATTTGAACACTTCATAAGTTCGATGTAATTCACTGCACGGCCATTGCCCAAAAAGGTTCGATCGTAATAATCAGAAATTTTCAATTCTTTTTCTTCACCATTGTCCACGCGAAATACGAAATGATAAACTCCTGGTTCAAGAGATGGACAGACACAAAAGCTTCCTCCGTCTGAATTCCACTGCTCCAAATTGTAAGTTGAATATTTCACACTGTGAACCAGAACATCGTTGCGATCAAAATGGTCCTGATAGATATCCTCCGCTTTGCTTATTAGAAGTTCCACTTGTTTCGTGTTCATGTGAGCCTCAGGTTTCCAAGCAAACCCAGCTATCACGTATTCAGTTTCCATCTTTGTCAGTAAAATGTATCATATATGATAATTTCCATCCTTTGGAGAAATTTCTTACACAATAGCAGACATTGTGCGTACGTTACCATGATTATTGTGCGAGTATCTTGTGACTTCTTCCTTACCTCGTTCCCACGTTTATGCAAGTATGAAAACGAGGGTTCTAAACAAGCAAGATGACGATGGCCAGTGTTTTGAGAGTAACATTTGCGAAGCCAAAGGGTATAAATTTCCGTCCGTTAACTAAATTGTTTTCAACGGGAACGCACTCCGAGAAGACGGCAAATTTACGCTTAGAACCCTACGATTTCACTCATGAATCTATCTTTACAGAGGAACACGCGGAGCTTCGAACATCTCTCAACAAGCTCATCGAGAAAGAAATCAACCCTTATGTTGACGAATGGGAAAACGCAAAGAGCTTTCCCGCTCATGAAGTGTTCAAAAAAGTTGGATCTGCGGGATTCTTTGGAGTAAACAAGCCCGCTAAGTATGGTGGACTGGGACTAGACTATTCCTTCAGTGTAGCTATGGCAGAAGAGTTGGGTGAGTCGCAGTCGATTAAATTATCCGAAAAATCTTTAATAAGGATAAATTATGAGATGTCGGTTATTCCACGTCTTTCCTTGGCCTTCAAAATAATTTTGAGACCCAGCCTGTAACACACGTGAATATTATGTAAAGTATATATGAAATAATTCATATTTGAACTGCGGTTGTAGATGAGTGAAGAATGATCTCGCAGTAAATTTCCAATTTAAGCAATTGGAAAGAAGAAGCCTGAAAAAATCAGATTGTTTCAGAATAGTGGTGATCTTAATTGGGAAGTGATCTATTAAATTTCTCATGTTGTCACGCTTGACACTAAAACAAGAGTTTTTCAGTATAAATTACTAACTCGAATAATTTATACCAACAAATCCTTATACAAAATGAAAATGATTGATTCACCCCTCTGCACTTTTTGCAAAATTTCAGATGAATCTCTCAAGCATCTTTTTTGTAGGTGTGATTTCATTGTAGCATTCTGGATGTCTGTTGTCCTTTGACTTAAATCCTTGCACATTGCTATCGATTCTCTAAACAACTGTGACATAATTTTTGGATTGACGCAAAAAGGGTCTCACTGGTTGCTTTTAAATCATATTATCATCGCTGGAAAGTTACTTATTTACCACAGTCGTCTGAAGAATATTTTACCATCATTGCGTTATCTCATGATAAAATTAGATCACATAGAATCCACTGAACGATCTATAGCCATAAAGAACAAACGACTTAAAATCCATGAAGGAAAGTGGAAGCCTCTCATTAATTAGAGACACTTATTTGTATATTTTTTACTGAATATTTATTGTATAGGCACTTTTTTCTGTATTGTTAGAAAACTTATGTGGTGTTGTAAGTGTTGTAAACCTTATTTATTTATTTCCGTTTCGGGTGTTACGTATAAGTAGTGTGAAGTAGTGTGAAGTAGTGTGAAGTAGTGTAGTATACAATGTGAATGTAAAAGTAGTATGTAAAGTAATCAAGTAAATTACTATGTAGTGTAGAAGTGTGTGGTAGTGTAATATACAATGTAGGTGTAACTTAATGAATGCAATGTAATTATAAAAATAAATAAATAAATAAAAATAAAAAAATAACAAAAAAGAAATAACAACTTAAAGGTCAACCTCGGTTCCAGGCTCTCTCTCCTCTACATCCCTTGATTGTTGGAAGGAAGACCCTGGTTGCGGCTGGTCACGTGACCACCTGTGACACAAACTTTTCCACGGGGGTAGAGTCAATAAATAATTTTTGTCGATCTCAACTGAAGCAAAAGAAAGGCGATCGCTGGTCATCGCTATATTAAACCACACATGGGCAAATACGCCTTTGAAATTGTCCAATCTTATTCTAAGCTTCACACAGGTCAAATGAAATACTGGTATATTTACCTATATCCAGCATATTCAAGTATTAATCTGATTTCAATTCCAGCCGATCGAATTACTAAGAAGTGAAACTGTTTCACTGTTTTATGTTTCCTGAATTAACCTCATGGCACATTGTTCCTTATATAAAACGATGTTTTATTTACCATTTTGCAAAATATAATTCTTGACTATGCCAGGGAACTGTGTTTAAATGTCTGTCTAAATATAAACTTACATAAACCTGATCGATGCAAATGAAGAATGTAATATAAGTGTGGTAGTAATAACAAAACTGTAAATCATTTTGCATTGCTGTAAATCAAATACAAGTCAGAATACTGGGCTAATCAGCCGTGTGACAGAAATACTTTTTATCATCCATAATACAGCACAAAGAAGAAAATAAAAAACCTCCTAATTCAAAGATTCACCAAACTGATCCACCAGTTTCATTTCGATTCGGTACGTGACATTTTACATGTGCTGACTGTCAAAAAGTTTGAGCTCCATTCAGTTGCCAAATTTCTTTGTGAACAAAAGTCTTCTATATTTTGGAGACCGCAGATATAATGTAGCATTCTTCATCGCCAAAATTCCACATCAAACCCCAATAAAGCGGGTAGGTTTTGAAACCCACAAAGTTTGCAACAGCAACAATCAAAACACTCTGCCACCTCTCCCACCCAACAGACTTTTTTTACCACCCAGATTCTGGGTGGTCACATGACCAGCTGCGACCAAGGTCTTTCTTCCAACGACCAAGGGAGGCAGAGGAGAGAGAGCCTGGGAATGAGCTTGCTTTAAAGGTCTGTTCACATTTCTGTATTCAACATTCAACACTTTGTCCACACTTCAACCCAATATTTCCTCTTTCCAGACTTAAAAAAAACAAACAATCAGATTACCCAACATAAAGATGCAGCTGGGATGTACAGTAACTAGGCTGCAATACTGACACACAACATATCAGTAATGTTAAGTGGTTGGGTGGAGAGTTACTGTTTTTGAGATTCTACAATTATACATTTTGACTGTTGTGAAAATTATATGAATATTCAACCAGCCATCAAAGATCCTACACTTAGCAGCTGGAAAAAAAATCCAGACTTTTCCTCCATTTTCTAGTCTTTACATCTATTTTCTGTTCTTTTTCCAGGCCTGAAAAATCAGTTTGCAGATTTCCATACTTTCCAAGAATTCCAGACTGTGTGCGAACCCTGCAGCTTGACCAGCTGCACATAATTAATGAAATTTGTGTAGCTACTTTTAATCAGGCACTTTCACTGAGGGGACCCTCACAGACATAACACTGTTTGCACATAGCCCATTTTGGGTATTTCTGATACTTATGATATTCTGATATACTAAATCACTGTAGTATCATTTGTTGGTGTAAAATGGCACAAGAATTGAATTAATTCATTATCTAGAATAGCAGTAATAAAATATGAGTGAAGTACACTGATTTCAAACTTTGATACTCTTTGAATGTATTGCATTGTGAAGTACCAATGCTCCTTGTTTTGCTTCATAAAATAGGGAGCTTCAAATAGCAGAGAAAATTATTTTACATTGCATGGAGCTTGTACCAGTTTGGGTGAAATGCACATGGAAACTACGTAATTCATTGATAGTTTCCTGGAGAATTTGAAAAACAAAATTGAAAAATACATGCTGCTCAGGGACAGGATGAAAATCTTCTACTTTCTACTGAATTAAATAGCACTCATCAATGAAAGTCATTTTAGCCAGGGGAATGGATCTGTAAATTAATGTTGTTACAAAAGGAATGTAAGGAAGCAATGGATTTTATTTTTAATAGCATTAATTCTCGCATGGGGGCATCTTAAAATTTAACTACAGATGAAATAGAACTCAAAAATGCAATCTAACAAGTTCTTTGAAAATTATCTTTACAGCAAGTTTACTGACTTGAAAAACATATTTATATTGATAATAATATTTTGCCTTACATTCTCAGGTTTTCAGCTGCTTACCTTGAATCATAAAGTCTTTGATTACCCTGTGAAATTTACTTCCCTTGTAGCCAAATCCTTTCTGAAAGTGGTAAAAATGTCAAACTTAGGTTATTGTTCATGTATCAATCAGGCATGCCATAGTATTTTTGATGATGATGATGATTGTGGTCCTTGTGATCATACGGAAAAATAACTAAGGTAAGAATTAAAGCGGTGGAGGCACCAGGCAAATTCACTGGCTGTGAGAACAATCATTTGCCTGCCTGGTTTGACCATCTTCAGGAAATTAAAAAAAAATTAGTTCAAAAATATTTGTCTGTCTGTAAAAACCAGTTACCTTCTGAATGGGAACCTGGTTGAAACCCTTGAAAAGAATAACTGGCACAAAGTTTAAGTGTCATTGAGCCAGGTCAAAAGTTCAAACATCATTCAAATTTCAAACATCATATAACTTGAAAAGAACAATTCATTCTCTATCACACGGTCTGAAGTTATGATACATTGCGTGAACCCACACAAAGTCACAGTTACCACATGGCCGCTCAGGACATTACAAGACACAACACCACACAAAAACTTTATTTATACATCGTAACTATTAGCATGCAGGTACAGCTGTAGTTCAGATCAGTGCTGAATATAAACTCCTTACATTATAGTCTTACCTCTCCTGATGCCAAAGTAGCAAAATTCTTTGTTGTTTTAGGTACAGTTTTCCCAAACAGACCAATTACAACTCTTCCTAACTTTTCATCTCCATGTGTGATGTCAAAGAAAACCTGCATTAAAAATATAATCATGGATATTAACCCATTGACACCTGTGCTGGCCATAACCAGCTGAGATGAGCATTGGCCTTTGTTCCGCTTCTGACGTCATCACCTTTGACCAAAATTGGCATCACTTATACTCAAGTTCTGCAAGAGGAAAAGATCTTTCCAATGATACCCAGATTGCAGTGAGTGGGCAATTGAGCCTAAAATATACATTAAAATGCTTAGAAATTGGAGTGAAAAACCAGGAGCAAATTTCCCTCAACTACACTTGGCTACTCCGTGGTAAGAATTTTCTGTCTCGATGATGCTATTCTTGGAAATTCTTGAACTGGAAGCAAGCCCAACTGTAGCAAAAAGATAAGAAGGAGAAAAAGGAGAGACAAAATATATATTAAAAAAAAAAGAAAAGCCTAGAAAGATGTGGGTCACTTTCTTGTCCAAAAATCACAAAATTTTGATTTCTGTACATGCCCGAGCAAAAATATCCTAAAAATCAATGCTAGTGGAAAGAAAGACATGCAGCTGTCATATTGCAAATGCCTCTTTGAGTAGATTGGAACTAATTTGGTTCAAATCCAGACTGAAAATGTCCAAAAAATGCATTTTTGCCAGAAAGCTCCAGGTGTCAATGGGTTAAATAAATCCCAATCACATGATACTAACAGATTTTCATAAGCTCTACACAAGTTATTTATTTTTTTAAGTACTTTCCAGTTGCAGTGGTCACATGTCTGAAACTTTTGAAAAGGGGTGTACACAAAACCTGGACCTCCCTTCTGGATCCCTGAATTTTTCTGTGAATAAATAAAACCTAAAAATACAATACACATATATGTGCCACATACCACTGCTTCCTTCCTTCCATTCAGCATTTAGCTCTAAAGAAGATGCTCCCCTTTACACAACACATTTCTGAGATTTCACTTAGAATTTACAAGGGAGAGCAGAAAAATGTTTTGGCAATCAGCTACTTGGACAATTTCCACAAATCTTATCATTTTCAGGTGCATGGACTCTTGCCATTATTTTGTTTTCTGCCATCATCCCATCATCATCATTTGTGTGATGTTTTTATTAAGCTCCACTCAAGATCGCTCTAGTTATTTCACAATACACACGTCTCATCAATACATATTTAAATCGCATGACCAGTCAATCAATAACTGATAATGATAACTGTGCAATTTGTTTCCAGTCAATTTCTCTCCAACTGACCAACAGAATCTATATCGGGCTTCAAGTATTTTCTTTTTGAAGTAACTCTGGATACATGACTGTGCGAAAGAAAAACTTGATTGCAAGTGAAGTAACTTTGCATTCAAAATTTATATTTCAAAAATTCAAGCTTAAATACCTATTTAGCCTATGAAGACCTCTAGAATTAATTTGACTGCAGTATGAAGAAATATAAAATGTCAATATGTTCCCATCCCTTCCCCCCTCCCCTCAGTGGAGGGAGTCTTCCGTTGCCTGCCACTTCCCTCAAAGAAATCACGGAAACGATAAATACCAGAAGGACTTACAGGGAAGTCCTCCTAGTATAGTTTTTACTGTTTTTAGGAATATATAATTAAAGCATTAAAGCATTTAAGTCATGATAAGAGACATTAACAATAGCCAGTGAAAGGATGCATACCGAGATAAGCTTTTTATACGCTAAAATATGACTCGTCACAGGTACAGTATATCCTATCTACAAATCATTGAAGACTACAAAGATCATTGAACGCGTTCAGCGATAGAGCCACTCAGCACGAGGAATCTATCAAATCAACTACAAATAAACTTTAAGGAAGAAAAACTAAGAAGGCCTACCGCTATAAGCTTCCTACACCAACTGATCAATGAACAAGCGCTTCTTAGAAACATCAAATATGGAATGAGCTTTGTAATAAACCAACCTTTTCCGTAACTAAAGGACCTTTCTTCGTTTTTCCAGCTTGAGAATCGTCGGGTAGAAGAAGGAAAACCAAGGCGCAAATAGCAAAAGCAATAACTAAGGTAATTTTCATTATCTTGCGAGCTCGAAAAGACATTCAATCAGTCTCAGTAACAGATAAAGACACGTCCTTATACTACCAGAAGGAATGATCCTTTGCGCGGGTTCGACTTCAACCGGAAGTCACTTTGGCTCACAATCTTCTCCAATGTCATTCCCAGAGCCCTCGTTACCCTTGTAACGAGGACTCTGGGAACGTGATTCGATCTTCTCAGACAATAATAGAGGGTTTCTAAAAGGTTTTCTTGGTATTAGTCAAGGATGCTTTTTATGTGCAGACTCAGGTGGCCGACTCAGGGTAAATACTTCATGAGTGGTCACAAATGAAAAACAGAGTCTGACTGTGATTGACCGTGATGAATGCAACAGATGAATGTTTGGTATTGACTAGTTACCAGCTCCTCCCTAATTTCACCGCTCTGAAGTTGAACAGTTGTCCACATACCATTGGTTCTCAATTATTCTGGAAAATCATTGGTCCACGCCACCTATACTGTCCTATTCCCCGTATTCAAAACGCGAAATCCTCTAGCTGAGTTTTCTGGTGCCTTATTCACAAATCAATATGTCTTCGTTGTTGTATTTAGTGGTGATGGCCTGCGCGTGTTTCGGCGTTAAAGCCAATAGTGGAGACACTGTCGACGTTACCGAAAAGGTGTTCTTTGATGTAGAGATCGGTGGTGAGAAAGCTGGCAGGGTCGTCATTGGATTATTCGGGACTACCGTTCCAAAGACTGCGAAGAATTTTTACGACCTTGCAACGCACGAGGTNCTGATTTTTTCAGGCTTCTTCTTTCCAATTGCTTAAATTGGAAATTTACTGCGAGATCATTCTTCACTCACACGTGAATATTCTTTGGTAAAAGTTATAGTTGTTTTAGTTTGTTAACTTTAAAAGGGAAAAAGAGAGGGGAGGGGATTAGGGAGGGGAGAGGGAAGTGGAGTGAGGAGGGGAGAGGTGAGAGGATTAGGGAGGGGAGAGGGGAGTGGAGAAGGGAGTGGAGTGAGGAGGGGAGAGGAGAGGGTATTAGGGAGGGAAGTGGAGAGAGGAGGAGAGGGGAGGGGACTAGGGAGGGGAGAGGGAGGAGCAGAGAAACAGAAGAAGGTATGACAGAAAGTTATCAATTCAACTGGAGTCTTTATTCTCCTTGACCAGTGGTTGGGAAGTGTGGCGACCCTGGAAAGGTCTGATTGAAGTATGAAAATTATAATTGAAATGCACTGTCATTCTAACCCAATTGAACTTAATCAAACTCAATTCATTGAATGAGTTGAGGTGGTTTCACTGACTTGATTGTTTTACTATTAGGAAACATCAAATGTGGTGCTATTCCCATGGCAATAGGAGTTCAAGCAGATATGGTAACACCTGCCCTGATTAGATTTGGCTGTGAAGAACTGAAGCAACAGTTTCTGGTTCCAACCATTGCTGGTGATTATGTGGCTTGCCTTGGAGTCAGTGAACCTGGCGCAGGATCTGATGTGGCAAGCATAAAAACTACAGCTGTCAAAAAAGGAGGTACATGTACATGTGTGTGATAAGAGAAAATTAGAAAATACTCTTTGACAGCTGCACTAAGAGGGACCAACAAAGGCCTGATGGAGGGTAGGATAGCACATTTTAACCACTTCACTGCCAGTTGTGGTTTTAATTTTCCTTTTGTTAGACAGTTTGTATTGATACCAGTTTTATTGATTTTTTTCTTATACAAGACATATTGAATTCAAAATAAATGGAGATGAAATAAGTGGTTTCTAATGTTTCAAATTTATACCATAGCATGCACTTTCCTACGGACTCCACATTATGTTTACGTTGTTGTGGACAAGAAACTCTATAGCATCTGATAGTAAGTTGCCCATCGCTTAGAACTTTGTGGTGTTATGTTTTTACATGGTGGAAATACAACTCCACTTCTATTACTTTTAGTCTCCTTTGACAAATTCAAGCTTTTGTATGGTTACAATGCTGAAGATCCAAAGTGTTTCCTCTTAACCCATTGACTCTCAGAGCTTTTTGCCAAAAACATATTTTTTGGACATTTTGGAGATTTTCAGCCTGGATATGAGTCAAATTAACTCCAATCTACTCAAAAAGGCATTTGCAACATGACAGCATGCCTTTCTTTCTACTAGCACCGCATTTTATGACATTTTTGCAGGGGCATGCACAGAAATAGGGAAAGTGACCTACGTCTTTAAGCTTTTTGGTTTTTTAAAATTTTTTTGCCTTTCCTTTTTCTCCTTTTCTTATCTTTTTGCTGCAATGATTGACCTTCTACTGGGCTTGCTTCCAGTTCAAAAATTTCTGAGAAAGCATCATTGAGACAGGCAATTTTTTACCATGAAGTAGCTAAGTGTAGTCGTGGAAATTTTGCTGCGAGTTTTTCTCTCAAACCTCTGAGCATTTTTGAGCATACATGTATTTCAGGCTCCATTGAGCAGATCACTGTGATCTGGGTATCATTGGAAAGATCTTTTCCTTCTGCCAAAATTGAGTATAGATGATGCCGATTTTGGTCAAAGGTGATGACCTCAGAAGTGGAACAAAGGTCAACGCTCGTCACCGCCAGTTACGGGCACCAGGGGAGTCAATTGGTTAAATACTACATCTTTAGGTTACACAATACCTTCTGAGCTACTTTTGTCAAATTTTTCTTTTTAAACAAAAAGAAGTTGCCATTAAATCTAACATTTTACCAAAAATGAAAGTAAAATCATCAAATGTGCATGAGTTATTTAGAGAAAAAGGATTTTTAATAACAGTTAATAACACAGTTAGGTGTCATAATCGTCAGAGCGTGTCGACTTTTTGCACAAAGCGGCTTCACCCTGGAGCTCTTAATGCAAGGGCTTCATTAGCATTTTCTTGTTTACACCTGATTTCGCAGTTTCGGTTCCCTAATTAATTTACTCTCTCATCGTATCTATCGAGTTCCTCGTGGTCTTGAGGTCATGAAACATGCTATTATAAGAAGAAGAGACTTAGACAGCAGAAAAATCAAAGCCAAGACCTAAGAAGAAGACAAAAGCGGAATTTCTTAAGGCAAGAGGAAAACTTTGGCTGACAGTGACAAGGGATCTTGAGTATTCGTACCTGTACTCTCACCACACTTATTTCTTTTGGTTTTCCCCATTTCTCGCGAGCAGTGAAGACTGCTCTATGAACGCATGCTGAAGTTCAACTAGGAGAACATGATTGTCACACTATTATTGCCTTAGAATTCCTGTGAAAATCATATTGCTCACTATGAACACTAGGGGTGCCATAATGTCATTGGCTGGCAGCAAATTATATTGACATACACCAAAGTAAAGGCATGAAATGTTTACAACTATTCAAACAGCAAAATCTTGCAATAATTTTTTGCGAGAATACCATCTCTTCAAATGCAGATTTTCACAAAACTTGACCACAACATTTTTTAGGCATTGAGGACCAAAAAGGTGTCAGGGATTTTTTCTATCATGGATATTTGTCTTGTGATGGTCACGAACACAACACGTGTGGTAGTTTGTGGTAGTTTCCTTAAAAACAATGTGATTTCACTCCATCACTCCTTCACTCTGTCACTCCTTCACTCCTTCACTCCTTCACTCCTTCACTCCTTCACTCCTTCACTCCTTCACTCCTTCACTCCTTCACTGGGTCACTTCTTGTTAGACATTTGAAACCCCCAGGGAGGGGGGGAACTCCTACATGAAAAGGTCAGGGGTGCTTGTCAGAAAATTTGAATTTAATTCCTAAAGGAGACTAATATGGGAGTTGCTTGAGCTTCATTAGACCGCTACTTAAAACTGAATAGGCTCAATCAGAAGCATATCACCTAGTCAAGGTGATAATCTTCTGGTTCGATTACTAGCCACTGTTCAAGAAAGGATCCCTCACGCACTTTTAGACCCAAGTCGCATACTTCAGAGATCAGCAGAAATCAAGCCTAAAAACAAATTAAATGAGAGGGTTTTTTTTAATTATTTCTTCGAGTGGACCCTAAAGGTTACTTCGACAGCTAAAAATGGTGACATTTCATCGTCAACACCCTCAGTGAGACCAGAATCCTTGATTTGTACCAGAGACAACGAGTATTCCTGAACTTTTCATATGGTTACGACAGTCGCTTGCACCATGTCAAGTGAGGTATTCTTTGAATTTCCGACGCAAGCACTCAATATCTTATTGCAGAAATGCTCTACATTGAATAAATTTTTGCACAAACGTTTCTATAAATAAAAGCTACTGGTAATTATATAAATAGCTCATTTCCCACTTGATTGTTGAAAAAGAAGACATTGAAAGTCGCAAAATTGATGAGCTGTATGTATTTTGGAACGATTCAAGCCGTGATTAAACGTTTTAGATGATCAATAGTCAAGAGAATGGAGGAGAATTCGAATGACATGTTCTGCTGTTTATTTATACGATATTGTAAATAAATACTTGTAAATACGGACATGGTGAAATGAGGAACAAATAGTTGATATACAAGGCCGGGAGTTCTGCAGTCTTTAATGTCGCCTTGAAAAGGGAAGGAAAAAAGAGAAAAAAAGGAAAAAGAAGTTATTATTAACACGGGGTATTCGTATTTGGTCACCCATCCAAGTATTAACCCCGCCGAACAGGATTTAACTTTGTTGAGCGGACAAGATGTGGTACTGTCCTTGTGGTATAGTGACTGCACATGTACGCTGAACGCACTTTTTTAATTTAATAAGATGAGAAAAGGTAACAAAGAGCAAAAAAAAAATCACTGATACTGGCTGGGAAAATTAAGAACGAAAAAAAATGAGAGGAATGAAAATGAGAATTATTACTTGCTTTGGAGATTGGATGAGAAGCAGTACTTTCTTTATAATGAGACCCTGTTAGGAGGGGGTGCCCATGCCCCCTGTCTGAATTTCACAAGCAGCTATGTTGGCATTTTGCAAGGTTCTTATGTCGCCTGTCGGAATTTCGCCTTAGAGGAATTGTGTCAGGAAATTTGACCTTGTTCAATTGAAACGAAATTATACATGTGCATAATACATCACAATACCTTTGTTTATTAAAAAACTGACAATGCGAAGACAAACATCAGGAGAACAAATTAAAAATCAATCAAAGTTTGACTGAAGAAGTGGTCTGTTCTAGCCATATTTTGCCAAAAAAAAATAATGATAATAATAATAATATTAATAATAAGATAATTTGAAAACCGAGACCAGAGTGACTTTCAGTTTTTGTAGGTGCAGTTTATTCAACCTCGATCCATGGCTAGACTAGTAATGAACCCAATAAATAACGAATCGATGTGACACTACCAGTTAAAAGTGAATGCCTTGTATCAAATTTGACATGATAATAGTGTAGAGAATATTAAAACATCAACTGATCATCTAGCAGGTCAGCAGGGTAGCAGGTCTCGAAACGGGAGTTTTATCTCATCTGGTACTTCATAATAAGAGTGTGGGGAAGTGTAGTAGGCAAAGCTACTGTCAGTGAGTTGCTTCAATGACTCGTGAATGGTGGATGCAAATAGATATGCAAACTCCAAGGCAGTTGGCATGTCGTTTCTAGAGTGCCAATTTGGCTGAAAAAGTTTTCCACAACCAGTGTCAGGGTGGTGACCAGTTTGAGAAAGCTGTCAAACTCAGGGTTGACCTCTTTCAGAAAATCTCTCAATAAACATAATGACTCTCTGAGAGTTTAAATGCTACATTAATTTTTTGATGATATTGTTCCTTGAGGTCCCTGAGTTGCCGCTTTTCATCCCATTTTCTCTTGAATCTCATCTACCCAAAAATCAACTGCCGAACTAGATAACTGGGAATGATAACTAGATAACTGGGAATGATATAAGACATATAAGAGCAGTAACCTCGATGACTAGTAACATCCCTCTAATTTTCATTGACGTCTTCATTATTTTAATCAGAAGATTTACACTCACCTGGTCTCTCTCTTCTTTCTGACTTTTTGTGCTTTTTTTTTTTCCTTCTTGCGCTTTTTGACTTTTTTGTGTTTGCCCATGTTGCTGCCGTCAGTGACCATCAGTGACCAGTCAGTGGCACATGATAGTGACGTATTTGAAGAAAGAAGAAATGATCACAAATCGCTTGCGAGTAATGACAGTAACACGAACACGACAGATGAAGTAAAGTATCTCCAATAGATGACAGATAGATGGAGCGCGCACGCACATGGGTCTAGCCTCCTACCCAGACACTCTTTGGACTCGTCACACAATCTTCCTCCCGTGACGAGCCCTAGTTGGATGTTAGTTTTTGTTAATTAATGTCATTAATGATGTTAATATATTTCAGCCAGTAAAATGAGACGTATTTATGACTCATATTGGTTTTATTGAGCCGTTTATTGACATTATTGTTTAAAAGATTCACTGCATTCACAAATCCAAAATTCACTGTCGGTCTATTTTGACATTGGTGTTGCTTTCCCTATTTCGCTGGAGTAGTCTGTCGTTTGTCGCCAGTTCGTTGCTCTCGTGTCGTCGTTTCAAGGCCATGTCGCTTGTCAGAATTTGCCCCTAACAGGGCCTCTATAATTGTCTCGGTCTCTCGGACCAATAACTTCATGAATGTTTTCAACAGTGTTACATCTCCTCGTGTATTCTCTTACTGTTGCGTTTTGCACTATTTCTTAACAATACTAGTGGGCTTTAACTTTAAGTTAACCTACGGATTAAAACCTCAAGTGGCATCAAAATTGTCACTGTTTAAAGACGATCCATTTTTTCAAGTTGAGTGCCTCATAGCCACTTTGATTGTTTTATTTTGTTGTGCAATTGAACCACTCTTTTAGCTTTTTTCTTCTGTAACTGTAATTGAACTGTTTTGCTTTCACTGAGGATCAAATTCAATGTTGAAAAAGTGGATAGACTTAGTGTAATTGTAAGTACAAATATAATGTTAACTAGAAATAGAAGTTGTCCACAAGTTGGTTAATATTTTCTTTGGTATGTAATTTTATGTGGTGTCAATAATAACTGATCATCCAGCATGAATTTAATTTGCTATTGTACAAATTTTACCAAATAAATGAGTCATTATAGAAAGTCTTCTCTGTCTTTTTTTATCAGGTGATTATGTTATAAATGGCAGTAAGTTATGGATTACAAATGGCCTACAGGCAGATTGGATCTGCCTTCTAGTGAATACCAGTGAAGGTCTTCCACATCAAAACAAGTCTTTGATCTGTGTTCCTCTAAATATGCCTGGAGTCCAGAGGGCAAGGAATATCAGCAAGATTGGTATGCACTCATCAGATACTGCAGAGCTGTTCTTTGAGGATGTGAGAGTGCCACAGTCTTACAGGATTGGTCAGGAAGGCATGGGTTTTACTTACCAGATGTTGCAGTTTGTTGAAGAAAGAGTTTTTGCCGGGGCATCAGGTATTCCGAGGAACTTTCTTCAGTACTGTAACATAATTTATATGATTATGACCCTTTCGGGTCTAAGGTACAGTAAACAATAAAATTCTACTAGTAAACTTGTATTATTTTTTAAAAATTCTCTATGATTGTGGGAGATTTTTGTCTTTGATTGCTCTGAGCTTATCAGTTGTTTTAATATGATGTTTGGACTTTCCTGTTTGAATTGAGTGTTATTTCACAGTTCAAACTGGAGCATATTCGTGTTATCTTGCATATATTGGCTCTCAGCTGTTAGAGAGTATGCGTAAAGGTCAGAACCAGCCAGCTGTGAGAGCCAGCTACCCTTGACCACATTGAAATAATATTAAGAAACTGTGTTTTAAGGGAGAAAGTTGACTTGAAGACTGAATTCTATGTCCATACTTCTTTCTGAGTTGTACTTTGCATTTCATTTCAATTTATTAGTTACAGCAGGTTGTTATTATAGTAGCTTGCACAATAACTATGTGTCTGGTGAATGTAAGTTACCAGTACAGGTGTAGTAGTCTTTCAGTATGAGAAACAGTTTATTCTGTGTTATACATTTCACCCATTATTGAGTGCTAGCTTGCTATTATGAAGTTGTGAAGTCTACTATGCTATGAGCTTATCCTGTCCATGGTCAGTTGATGGCTTTACTCTTTGTCAAAGTGTATAAACCCTTTTTAAAGTGGTTTGCTACAGATGCCCATAAAACCAAAACCAATTGAAAGTAATCAGTCTAGCACGTCATAGAGGATAAAGACAATACAGTGAACCAATCAAAACTCAAAGTAATTACATGTAGCTGACGAAAAGCGCAGGAAAACGCGTGGGAATGAGTTACAATTGGTTTTGATATAGTGTAGTGATAAAAAAAACAATAACTTTTCAACACTCAAATGAAACCCCCTTAACTTGGGGTCATGCACTTTCCTTCTGGAATATCCAGTGCTTGATCTTTACCTAAGGCTAGCTGTTCGATTGGATAAGCTAGACCTACAAACCTTAACATATTTTTAAAAAGGACATTATAAAGATATAGTACTGTTAAGTTTCCCTTTCAAGTCATTTTTATTGTATCATGTTTATTTTCTTGTTTTAGTTCTACTCTCTATGGAGAGACTCATAAACGATACTGCCACATACTGTAAGGAAAGAAAGGCATTTGGCAAGTCCATCTTAGATAATCAGTATGTCCACTTTCGCCTGGCTGAACTTCAGACTGAAGTCGAACTGCTAAGATCACTTGTGTACAGAATCACAGGTGTGTAACCTGTGGCCTCATACTGGGTAGCCTGCATCTCTAAGCTCAGTTAAAGACAGATCAGACACAATAGTTTGTAAATGGAAAGTGTTTGCAGCTGTTCTGACTTTGCTTTAGATTAATTGTTTGTCTCAGTTTGGATGCCTCTTGCAACATTATTATCCCAGGGTGAGGTGGAGAGATTGAATAACTTGATTTGACTTAATTGCCTCTCGTGTTGTGGTTACATGTGTCAGTGGAACTTTAGTGTAGCTAATTGATAACCAAATCCTCATTGTAACAAACAATATCCTTGGCCAACTAAAAATTAAGAGAAATTACCTGAGCATAGCAAAGAAGGGATCATTTGGGAAATCATTTTAGGTTCAATTTGGGGATCATTAATTTTCAGGGGATCTTCAACAACCCCACAATAACATTCAAGTACATTTTCCCAGTTCCTTTGTTGTATCGAGGTGTCTGACTTGTTTTAGTTTGTTTGTCTGTTTTTCAGACCTGTATATAAAAGGAAAAGATGTCAACAAACTAGCATCAATGCTAAAACTTAAAGCTGGCCGATTAGCACGTGAAGTGCCTGACTCGTGTCTACAGTTCTGGGGAGGAATGGGTTTTACTACAGATGTGGAAGTGAGCCGTGCCTACAGAGACAATCGTCTTCTCTCTATTGGTGGAGGAGCAGATGAAGTCATGCTGTCAATCATTTGCAAGTACATGGGAACATTTCCCAAAGGAGAAAAGTTTTTTTAAACAATTTATGTTCAATACAGGGTTAGAACCAACCACCACCTGTGGACTACTATATTTTAACACTGTAAAACTTTTTGGTAAATTAAGTTACTTATTAATTGTATCTATAACACAATTCTCCATCATGATTAGTTCTCCGCACAGCTATTTGTCATGTAATTGGTGCACGATCACATGGGTGTAACAGGTCTTGAATAACAACTTTTTGTAATTGGACACCTGTAATTGGATACCTAGCCCATTCGCACATCAATTACTTACGCTTTAATGGCTTCCTTGTTTATGTTTCCCGCAGGTTTTGAAACTCATGGAAAACGCTACTGAATTTTTTGAACAAACAAAATGCACAAGAGACTTCCTTTATTTCCAAAATTTGTTATAGACACAATTAATAATTTTACCAGTAATTGGACTTCATGTCGTACAATTTAGGGAGTAATCATGCTCATATCTCAAATCGGCCTCGCGTTGCACACTCATCCATTTTGAAATTTCGCACGCAATTATTGAATTATACTCCACTCAGTCCAATTACTATTAATAATGAAAGGACAAGAATAGCTATTATTCAAATTTAGTTGAGTGTTCAAGCTAGAGCTGAATATTGTTGAATCGCAGTAGAGGGTCTCTCAAGCGATGATTTAAAATGTAATCAACTGTACATATGATGAGAGAAGCAGTAGCCCCTCATAGTACCCCTCGTAGTAGTTATAAATGAGTACCAACCCCAGGGGGGGTGGGTACTCCCAGAAAAGTTGGGTGGGGGTGTGCAGCCCACTTCCCAAAACCCTTACCTTATTTGACCAAAATCTGCAACATTTGCTACCCTATTTATGACTTGCCCAAAAATTTGATACCCTATTTATGACCATTGCCGCTGACACAGTTGCTTTAAGCATAAGTTATGATGGCTTTTGTTGATGGTCTTATTGATAATGATGATAAAGTAGCTTCTTATAAGAAACATACCCAATTTAAGACTAGAGTGCCAAAACCATACCCTGTTTAAGACCAAAATGGTCAAAATTGATACCCTATTTATGACCAGAATGCCTGAAACACCCTACCCTTTGGGGCCGCTCATACCTATATAGCCCATATAAGGGAGTATCCCGTCCCCCGGGGGTACAAACAAACTGTTAAGGACAGTTAACAGCTTGCTAGTACCCAGTTATACTGTCTTATGGGTGGCACACCACCTGGATGGACTAGCACACCATTCTGTTGTGGGAACTTGGCTTTGTACCTAGCTTGAAATTAACCATGAACAAACAAATTTCAGAACCACCAAGACCCTAACAAATTTGTATGTACCCGGGTTTTAAAAGCACGATTTACTCAACAACAGTCAACCAAATCTGGCAAGTTTATTGGTTGTATTGTTAATCATTTACACCGTCTCGCTACAGACGGATAACCTTTATTTAGCATGATAAAAATTAAAGCTCAGTAGCTTATGGGGTCGTGCAAAAAAAATAGAATAAAATTAAATTAAGCTTCGTATAAAGTATATATGACTGAATTCATGAAAACCGTATTAAATACTTTGCACCAAAATAGCCATATGCACTTTGATTTCACAACACTAAAAAGCGTTAAATTCACTCCAGTGATGGAAAAAATATATAGAGAGAGGAGAACAGGAATCGAAAGATAAGAGAGTGGAGAAAGAAAAACTGACATCCTTTTATGGACGTTGATGCAAACATTTTCCAGTCGATGAATTTTTTTTAATTTTTTACTGCAGTCAGATAATTAGTTACTTGTGTCAGAAATGCAAAAAAAAATTGGGGGTCACAGACTTCATTTCAGAGATAAAACAAAGATATCGAAAGTGAATCAACGGAGCTGAGGCAAACAATCTGAGTCATACTTTGTAGAAGCGGTTCTGTTGGGTAAATGATTCCAAATGTTACCAACGTTTTCACAAAATTCACCCTTCAAGAGACATTTGAAACCATTGCACAGATAAACGAAGAGCTAAAAAGAATGGAATTCGATGGTGCATTTTTCAAAAAAATTCAAACTTCTAGCCGATAGATTTTCTTCATTTTTGGCTAAAGGTAGAAGATCGGTAGAGAAAATGATCCATGAAAAGAAAAATAGGGGTCACCAAACGTCCAAGATCGTTAAATCCAGGCAAAGCTATAGCAATGGTGCCCTATCATTGCACAGGGAGCCCTCACATCTGTTAAGAATATGAATATACATGGTCTACTAGTGCCAAGTCTGGAACCGAAATTGAAGAAGTCTGGGACGGGCGGGAAAATTCCCAAATTCTCGGAGGAGTCGATCGCACACCGAGGATGCCTTATATGGGCTATATAGGTATGTGCGGCCCCAAAGGGTATGGTTTTTTGGCCTTTTAAGTCATAAATTGGGTGTCGATTTTGGCTATTTTGGTCAAAACATATTTTGAGACGATTTTGCTCCAATTACTCCTTGATTTAAATCTACACACTTGTAGCTATCATAGCAAAACCTATAGCAACGGTTGTTTACAGTCCATGATTACTTACAAAATGAATTCAATTCAGTACATTAATTATACTTTATAGGAAAACTATAGAGATGTGAACTTGTGAGAATTTTTCACCATGGTTTGAACATTGTTTCCTGTATCACCTTATACGCCCCTTATAATTGGTTAACATTTCTATGACCAGTGGGTATTCAGGCATTCAATGGAACTTTTTAATATAGTTAATAATAGCTAATATTAGTAAACGGTTTACCATTTTCATGAGAAAAATTCCTCAGAACGCTGTCTTCTGAGGTTTGTTACCTGGACAACTTGCTTATGGACAGGATGAACTTAATTCCATGCTTCTCAATGTTATCGTGTTTATAATGAACACCACTCTTTAACACTGAGGAGCTAGTTATTCATTAACGTTTTTTTTAAAGTGAGGTTGTGAAGTCCCTAAACGTGGAGCCAAAACTGTCCCACAAAATTGTTTTTTTAAAACACATGTTTTTGAAGGTATAAGACCTTAAATAGAGGAGTTCACGCTCTAAGGGGCATTATGGGTAATCGGGGCAAATTTACAAAGAAGCAAAGCCGTAACACAAATGATCATCTTTGTATCTCGGATCTTATTTCACGTTTGGAGACGAAACATATATTGTAGACGGAGACAGGGGCGTAGCTAGGGGGGTCCTGGGGTCCCTGTCACCCCCTTTTGTAAGCCTTTTTTAGGCAAACAACCTAAAACAGGCGAAAATAACAGGACAATCTGGTGAGTACCCTCACTTTGACNCCCCCTTTGAAAAATCCTGGGTACGCCCCTGGATGGAGAAACCCCTTTTCTAGGTTTACCAGCGTTTTTGAGCCGATCATAGCGGTCGAGCTCTCTGAAGACCCGGATTTAGAAGAACATAATTCGGAAAACGAATAATAGAATCGAAGTTCGCATAACACCATACGGAACGACACAAACATAATTCGCGACGAATAATCGAATACAGGAGCAACAAATTAAAACAACAGCGACTTCTTGGCGAACATAATTGAGAACAGGTTAATCACAATTCGTAACATTAAACACACCACTGAAAACATTAAAAACCGCATTGGCAAACAGCATAATAAAATTCCAAACTTAATTTTGGCGGTAATCACCCCTCATACGTTGCTGCGAGGTTGACTGCGAGATACTGCGTACCCTATTTGNATTAAAAACCGCATTGGCAAACAGCATAATAAAATTCCAAACTTAATTTTGGCGGTAATCACCCCTCATACGTTGCTGCGAGGTTGACTGCGAGATACTGCGTACCCTATTTGCTACGATTTGCCACTATTTACCACTATTCGCCATTATAATCCATCAAATATTTTCGCTCGCGCGCGATTGGTCTAAACACGTCACGTGACCGAATATTCCCCAGCTAAAACTGGGGAATATCGGGGAATATCCGAGAATATTCCCCAATTTTCAAAACTGCGCGCGTTGCGAAAAAGATTTGAAGAATAATAAACACAATAGCCTCCATTTTGGGCGAAAATATGCTCGGACATTCGCCCTTGGACATTATCTGTTCGAGAGCGTAGCTCGACGAAAACTGTTCACTTCTCGGAACAAATAATGTACGCGGACAAATATCCGACCATACTTTCGCGCCAAATGGAGGCTATTGTTTATCTATTCGTGACTCTTCGCCACTATTCGCACTATTCGCTATTCGCTATTCGGGACTATTCGCTGTTCGCTATTCGAGACTATTCGCTATTCGCTATTTGGGTTTTCCAGACACCAAGCTCAGTCAACTCAAAAACGCTAGCAAATGTAGAAAAGGAGTTTCTCTTTTTGCAGTAAAAGTAATAGTTTCTCGAAAATGAAACTCTGAACGGATATATGGAGAAAAACGTATATTTTGCCGCTTTGTTTCTTTGCAATCTTGCCCTGCCCATCATAGAGCGTGAACTCCTGCATTAAAATAGACAAGTCATGAAATTTGACCCTAACTCGTTATTACGGACTTCCCGTTAATTATTTCTTTCATTGAATATTACTTAGGAGGCCATTATATAAACTACCGTGGAAACTGGTACTAATACATTCCAACCTCTCCTCCCAGAAAAGAAAATAAAAAATTCTTATAATCTAATCACGCTCAAACGATTAATAAACACGAACACAGCATCAGGGGCGGGCATCTCGTTTATTGATGCAGCGAGCGTTTACAACATCACCATGAAGAAATTACAGCAGTGAATAAACAATAAAGCAAAGTTGAAAGAGATGCCTTCGAGTGGCTCTTGCATAACTTACAAAATCTTAAATAGGCTAAGGATCCTAAGGATTCATCATACCTGCAAGCACGCCTAAAGTACTTCAACAGTTAACACGAATTATACATCATAAACATACTCCAGTGTCATTAGCGAAACGTTACAAAATATATTTCTCCCTCAGTGTCAGTACTCCTGGTCGGGGGGTCACTGGGAGCGGGGACAAAGATGAGAGTGGAGCCTGGAATCCAGATTTAAATCGCGCAGCATCTAAAATGGCGTGAGGAACCATGGGGTATCCATGTGTCCAGTTTTCTCGTGGAGCCTTAATCTTCGTTGTCGTCTTTTGTCCTTAATGAACAGAGCAGAGGTATTTGGAACATTGAGTAAATGGAAGTGGCCAGTAGTTGGTGTGGCAGCCGCTTTCGTTGGTTCTATGTACACATTTGGTTTCAACCGGTCTCTTACTCTCCAAGCAAGTAACGGACAAGATGACGCAACAAACTCTCTCGGTTTACGAGACCTTTTGCAGAAACTGATCCATAACTTTGTACAGGGTGGTAAAGGTCCAGAGAAACCACCTTTAAGTCCAAAAGAGGCAAGCGAAATCTTACGAAGGAATGAGAAAATGACAGAGGTGAATATTGGAGCTGTGTCGTACTTTGAAACCAATAACTTTGCTTCGAACAATCCTTGTGAGGATCGGAACAACGAATGGCTGCTGTTAAAGACCAGTGGTGCTGCCTTTGGTGTGTTTGATGGGCACGGAGGCTGGCAATGTGCTGAAGCGGTAAAAAACCGCCTACCTCTCTATCTAGCGTTATCCCTTCTTTCCAAATCAGATTTGACGATGTTGGAAAGAAATCTTTCGAAAGGCTTCTCGATAGACGACTTTGTCACAAGTTTTCAAACGGACAAATCACCAGTGGGAGAACAAAAAAGTTCCAAAAGCAATGTTGGGTATACTTTAAGTCAGAAGCAAGAGGTTTTCCACACTGGACCAAAATATCTGGTGAAAAACTTGCTTGAAAAGTCGTTTCGTGGTCGTCTGCCTGCTGGAGAATCACTCAGTTTGGCTTTCACTCAGTTAGATGACGATATCTCAACCGAGGCTATACCAGTTAAAGTTCTTGATGACTCGTTTGTCTCTGGAGCTACAGGTGCTTGTGCTATAGTGTCATACATTGAGGGCCAAGACCTCTTTGTTGCAAACACAGGTATACAGCAATTATTCCACATAATGTTTACACCCCAAAATAATCGCTATAGATACTTGTAGGCAAGGATAGATCCGAGCAGGATTAGCAAAGCATCCCAACTCTCTCCCCCAGGTCAGATGCTGCAGTTGGTCAGGGTTAAATCTGACTGTCAAGTGTATCCACCAGCTGTTCAAATAGTTACCAGTAAAAGGTGAAAACCTGACAGTGTGGTAACTGTTAATAAATGGGAAACTTGTGTACAGAATGTATTAGATACACTCCTATGTCACCTCGATTAAGGTGATTCCTTAGTATTGCATTGCGCATCCCTACTGCGCATGATTTTCGCATCATTAGCTCACGCACACGAGTGCGTGCACGTACAAAACATAAGAGATTTCCCTCAAACTAAGCTCTATAGTGTAATAAATGTTCCTTTTCTCTTAAACGAGCACGGTGACCCCCACTTTTTATTTCATAATTTCAATGAGAAAAATACCCTCAATAACTGAGAAAAAAATTAGCAGAAATTTATGGCTACTGTTTTGGCAAAATATGAAATAAATGCTACAGAGGGAGACATAACAGGCCCAACAGTGCCTGTGCAAATTATGTTTCCTTTAAAGGATAAAAAAATGCAGGTTATTTGAAGACAGTTTTTCTGGGACGTTTGGTAGATGAATAAACAATCAAAGAAAGTCAGATGCTGTGTGATATAACATGCTGCATTGAAAAATAATCAAGCTTATTTGCTGCGCACGGAGATTATCAAAAATCACCTAAATTACTGTATTTGTCAGCATTGAGGCGTGAAAACAAGCACGGTGACCCCATCTTTTTATTACATTTTTAATATCTCTTGCCCTGTAACAACAGCATACGGAAATCTATGGCGGGTTCTTTTACTAGGGAATCACCTTAAGTAAGAATGAACATACTATTAATAACTGAAAAGTTGTATTGTTATTTGTATTCTGACTGGAATTGGTTGTGTTTTTTCTTTTAGGGGATTGCAGAGCAGTCCTTGGAAGCATGAAAGCAGATGGTTCTTGGCTTGCCACGCCACTGTCCATTGATCAGACAGCACAGAATCCAGATGAAGTTCAAAGATTGCAATTAGAGCACCCTGGCGAGGAGCACTTTGTCATCAAAAATAACCGTCTGTTAGGACAGCTTCAGCCACTGCGATCTTTTGGTGATATTCAGTACAAGTGGGATAAAGTTACCCATTCTCATGTTCTAACACAGGTTTATGGTGGTCCTATAGTACCGCCAAGTATGTACAAAACTCCGCCATACCTTACTGCAAAACCTGTCATCACACATCATCACTTACAACCTCATGATAAATTCCTAATCCTGGCTACAGATGGCTTGTGGGATGTTCTTAGCAATGAACAAGCTGTTGGTTTGGTTGCAAATTTTCTTCAGCATCAAAGTAAAGATAAACAACATACACAGCTGGTTAGCAGTGTTGTCACAACTGGCAATGAGGTGCTGGAACATAATGCAGCTACACATCTTATTCGCCATGCCTTGGGCGGCAATGACCACAGTTTTGTTGCTCAGATGTTGCTAGTTCCAGAGCAATATCGCCGCATGTGGAGAGATGACATTTCTGTAACTATAGTATTTTTTAATTCAGACTCTCTTTTATCTAAGCTGTAAGAGACTAACCATACAATGGCTAATCTGAATCTTTTAGGTGATAAACCATCTGAATTATATTCCATGCAAATTACTGAGCTCTCTCACCAAGTTGCAAGTTTTTGGCTATACTCTGAAAATGAAGGATGTGTTTCATCAATGATCCAATTCTGGAATAAAACTATAATTCAGAATAGACATTCTGTCATTACATTAATTAGTGTATGACAAATAATCATGATTATTTTTAATTTTTTTATTTTACCAACAATTAGATTTTTTATTTTATCATCAATTACTGACATTCCATGTCACTTGCATTACAAAGATATCATTAAAGAATCATTATGGTCCTGGGTGAACAATTTTTTTTCTGCTTTTGTTTATTAGTTTTGTTCTTTTTTTTTTTTACATGCTAACATTTTTTCGTTTGCTGCAATTGTAATTACCATAAACTTCTGATACTAACAACCCTTGTTACTTTTGGAATTAGCAGCCTCTGGGGGTCGCTACTTTCAGGAGGTCGCTACTTTCAGGGGGTCGTTACTTTCAGGGAGCAATAAAACGTTATTTAAAGTTGGTACAACTGAGCTTTTTTACAAATTAAATAAAAGATGGCAATTCATAACAAAACATTTCTCTAAAAATGTCATTGTTCCAGTTTCATATTACTAACATATGGGTGGCCTGTACATGTCTACACTGTGTTGTCTGTTGTAGGCACAAGCTGTGCAGGTTTCTCCCGGAGTTCTTTTCTGAGCCCTTTAATCACCTTCCTTTTTTCACAGTGACATCATAGAAATAAGGAATCTATTCCTCCTCCTTAAGGTGGCTCCCTATAGTTTTACAATTGCATGCTCGCTGAGGACAAAATCTCAAGTGATCTGCGCACGCTCAAAGAAAAACGTCAGTGTTTTTCGATATTTTATGACCTCAACGTGAGCACAAAAAGCAAAACTGACAGTGAATTTTCTCGCGTTTCCTTTGGTGAAATTCTGTAAAATTTGGCAGACTGGTAGTAAATATTTTACTTTAGTTGGAGCTCGTTTTCAGGGAAATTTAGAAGACCAGTTTTTTCGCAGTGGTAAAAGACATAAATTTGCAAAAGTCGAAAAAACCGCCTGTACAAACCCAACTTTTTTCATGTTTGAGATTTGAATCCCGCAGGATGCGATGTGCTGTGAAAATTTTGGAAAATTTCACCGGAGGAAATTCAAGCAAATCGCAAATACAGCCATAAAAAAAGTAAAAAATACTTTTGTTTGGGCATTTATAATTCAAGACTAAACTCAAAATTTTAACAGATGATAGTAAAACACTATTCAATCATTGCTTGTTAGTCATGTAGTACGTTTGAGAGGACTGGGTGCCAAAATGAAGGCAAAAACAACATTCAAGACATAATACTTGCGCGGGCAACGCCACAACTGATGACCCTATGGGGCTACCTTAAGCTCCTTGCACCCTCACACCCTTGCGCCCTCAGGCACACTCCTGACTACAGGCAAATACAGACAAAGTAGGTGGCGGTAAGAGGTCAATTCTGACTAAGTAGGCAGCGATTTTTGCCGGTTGCTGGCTTCTAATGAAACCAGACTACCGCGTTGGGGAATCAGCCTTTTTTTCAATTTTGTTTTGAAGCTGAAACTATTCCGTAATTACCTACGTTCCTGTTGAAAATGACATGAAGAGTTTTTAATTTTAATGCAAAAAGTTCATTTTCCTGTTCACTTGACTATTGACGTTATTTTTGGCAGGCAGGTGGAGTTGGCCTGGGGCTAGGCTTGCTACTTTTGGGGCGGAGTCGCTACTTTCAGGGGGTCACTACTTTCAGGATTAACCAGAGGCAACTATTTCTTGACATTACTTTCGGGGGGTTGCCACTTTTAGGGGGGGGGGTGTTACTATCAGAAGTTTACGGTATGATGACTCAATCAAATAGATAATCAGGTTGCTCCATTTTTCTTTTCCAAATAATCAATTCCACCTTAAGCTTGAAAACATAAGACTGCAGTGACAATAAAACCATAAATTGAAAGACTAGTGAGGATTGCGGAAGTATGACACGGACTGCAAAAGGCTTCTGGTTTGAAAATAATTTATTACTGAACTTTCATGTGCTGTTTCACTTTTTTTTTTGGAAAGCTGATAACCACACAAATTATCAGTCTTTGGATTTTTTATCCTTATTGCATCGAACGAGCTAAACCAAATGGATTAACCAACAGAGTCCAACACCTTCTGGGATTCCTGTTTTCACGGGGATAATACTGACCACATAATTGAGTGTTCATTTTTGTTCTGCAGTTCCCAAATTATAAAAAAAGAGTAAATGTGGTCATAATTCTAGACAACAAATATATTTTTCTTATTCAGTGCAAATTACAGTTGCACCTCTCTACCTCAAACTATTTTCCATCAGTAATCCCAAACATCTGTACAAGTTAACCCTGGGGTTTCATTAGAAGCCAGCAACCGGCGAAAATCGCCACCTACTTTGTCAGAATTTACCTCTTACCACCACCTACTTTGTCTGTATTTTCACTCAAATTATTTAAAAAATTCATCAGTTTGCCACCTCCTTTAGTTAGCTCAAACGGCTAATTCAAAACTTATTGAAACCCTGTAAACAGGTACAGATGTACCTGTATGAATAGCACAGTTCACCAGTTACAGAAGATTACAGCAAATAAAGAAGAGACAGGTACACAAATCACACTCTAGTAATTACTGATCCAAGCCTGAAAGAAACGATCGTGTATGCATGTCAACTTTTTCATCCAGTTATGATTAGTATAGTGCAAGGACCACAAAGAATTTCAATAATAATTATAGAGAGTAATAAGGTGGCTTACTTCAAAATCCAATTTGAAAGTATCATTGCAATTACCAGAAGTACGTTTTGTTTCACTTTGTTGCAGGAACTTTATTTCCACCCGCAGTGCTCTGTTAACTATGGGTTAGGGAATGGTCATAGGCTGCTTAATGCACTCAACAAATGAGTGCCTACACAGATGTCTTGAACTAACATCAATAAACACACAATCAAGAGAATGCAATGATGAGCTTTATTTTTAGACATCTCCATTAACGGCTGTCTGGATGCACTCTGCAGTTAAAGCCATAAGAACAGGCTCTCGACAGGTATTAATGTCAGGTTTAACCTTGTCCATACAGGCATTATCTCAATTTGTAGTGAACAGTTTGGAAGGCATGGATTACATTTACCTGAATCGTGGTAGAGCTTAAAAAAATCACTTTCTCAAGGAAAGACTATTATTGCATTCAAAACTCAAGAAGCTAGAAAACTGTTATCAAAAGTAGGAAACTTTGAGTGAGTTACAACTAAAAAAGAGAGTTGGACCATGAATTGCCTGTTGAACCATGAAGTGCTTGTAACTTCATGTATGAAGTTACAAGCATGCATGCATGGGGTACAGATGATTTATTTTTCCATCAAACACACCAGAAAAAATGTAAGAACTCAGTGTGAATCTTAGTGTAAAGGAAATCTGTCATCAGTTTTTAGTTAATGATTAGTTTAGGAATTCTCAAAATACAATTTGTGTGATAAAGAACAATGTATTAACAGCATTGTTCAGCTATAATTGATAGAACGAAGTGGGTGTTGACGCTATATTTCAGAAAAAACCATAATTATGCAGTTTCCATACTATAATTATTGCATATGCATATCACTGGTAAGTAAAACTTGGCCTGCCAAGATGTTTACTTATCAGTTTAGGCCATTCCAAATGCATAACATTGATTTTCAAGTTTTGGGACACAATTACTTGTGAAAACAATGTTTGAAAAACAAATTACAAAAAAAACAAATATGAGTTGCCTGTCAGTGAGAAACCAATTACCAAATAAGATGTCTGTTGCCTTGCAACACTACAAAACCTGTTACACTCTCCTCAATACACCAAGTGTGAAATTTATCAGTGCTTGTCCACTTCAATGGCCCTAGAATACCAAACGTTCTTTGCAAACACATCCTCTAAATGGCTGATAAATATGTTTGATGATTATTGTTCCCAGCACCAGTGCTTTGCCCTGAACCTTGCACAAGGAAATAACACTAGTGGAATCAAGTCACCAGAAATTTGCACTGCAAAGTTCAACTACTTTGCCATTTTATAAAAGCCCCGCTAACCTCTGTACCATGTAATGAATAGGTGATCCATTGGTAAAACATTCATTGTTGCTGTTCTGCAGCTTGGATTTGTCAAAACCCAGAGTTAATTAGACACAATAAAGCCACATGTAATAATTATTATTGTTCCCATAGTGAACTGTTCAGCTTGTGAATCCATGAACAAAGCCACTTTAATATTAAACCTTCGCTGCAAAATTGTCATATACTTCCACCACCATAAGTGGCTGATGTTAGTCATGGATGCCACATTTTCTTGACCAATTTGTGCTGCTTGCAGTAGCAGTAAACCAGTGAATGCCAAGGGAATGCATTTCAAATTATGCAATGCACACCAACTTCAGTTGGAAGATGAAACCCAATGATCACAACCTGTTGTCAACTCTCTGTCAAGACACATCCCCAGTACCCTCCTTGGATGGCACAGCTGAGTTCTCTCCCTCGTGAAGACTGCTACGATTTGGCATGGAATTGGCCATAACAAGCTGATTAGCACACCAAATTATTGTACGGGTTGTACGAGTATTTAATGTCAGTGTCTTCACAGCTGATATTAAGGCAGAGAGTTCTGTAAAAATAACAAACCAAAAATGTAAAATGAACAATTTGATAACACTGTACGAGTCTGTAAAAAATGAATCAAGTCATGTCCCTTAGCAGACAGTTGCCTCTGGACAATGTTATCATGTTCTGTGCACATTCGTTGTCAACATTTCCAGGGCCTTGACACAGGGCCTGGTAGCTGAGAGATGACAATCAATTAGTGATTCACAGTTTGAGAATATGATAACTTCAAAGTGAAGCAGTATTAGTGATTATAGCTGCAGAAAAAAGACTAAGAGCTCTGTACAGTGTTGGTCTAAATTTGAAGTAAGTCTGCATACGAGTCAAGAAAACCACCAGGCTGGAGCTTATCCTGCTTTCAATACCATGAAGTTACTAGGACTATTTTTACTCCCCCTGGATGGGATGCTAGTCCATCACAGGGTTACCCCCCCCCCCCCAGCATTAAATTTGCTGGTACCCATTTATGGACCTGGGTGGAGAGAGACAGTGTCTTGCCCAAGAGCACAAATTATGCAATGTCCATGGCCAGGGCTTGAACCCAGACNACCACTTGATTCTGAGACGAGTGGACTAACTATGAGGCCATCACCCCTCCCATTGAAGTACTAAAATATTCACAAGTAACTGAAAGAAAGTGCTAAAGTGTAAGATGAAGAAATGGACAGAGCTGTAGATAGTTCAAGTTCTCTCAGTTATTTGCAGATATTTTATGTATAGATGAGTCTTAAGCCTAAAGTTTTATTCAGTGGTCTTTGTTGACTCAAGAGCCAGAACTATTTTTAATGAATGAGCTTCTTTCATGGAGAGAATGAGTGTAATGCTAAAGTATTAAAATATAATTGGCATTGCTAATGCATAATCTGGACCAGTAAAAATGTCACAACCCCCCAAAACACAGTTTTATGCACATTGAAAACCCCTAGAGATAATTTTAAGTTACAATTTGGTAAAAACAGAAAACCAAATTCTTGAAAAATCATTAATAAATTATTAAAATAACCTGGACCAGTAAAAATGTCACAACCCCCCAAAACAAAGTTTTTATGCACATTGAAAACCCCTAGAGATAATTTTAAGTTACAATTTGGTAAAAACTGAAGAACAAATTCTTAAAAAAAATCATTAAGAAATTATTAAAATGATGTTAAGACTATCAAAGAAGGTAATTGTACCCGCAGTATCTTGATGCCGTATAGAGGAATTCAGCCTGCATCTGGAACTGTTACTAATACTAAGCTCTTCTTTACGACGATTCTGTAGCTCACGTATGCCACTTTGCCACTGATCTACTCCCTCACTAATGCTGACGTGGAGAGGGGAGTGACGAATCCGCTCAATGCGCCCAACTAAGGCTTCAACCTAATGATCAATTTTGAACATCAAATTAAAACTAATTTAATATTTGTCCTAATCTACTGATTAAGAGCTGTTTCCAAGGACAATTATTTTAGACTTAAACATTTTCACACTGAGGCGTTAACACAAAAAGTATGGGTGTGTACATCTAGTATTAAAAATTGACATAGAACCTGTGTCACTAGAACTTTAAAAAATTGAAAATTCCCTGAATGTAGAGGAAGAGTGATAATCTGTCTTACTTCACCTTTATTTACAAGGAATAAACAGCAAATCTGTGGACAGAAATTTCTCAACTTTGCAACATATTTTCGTTAGGAAAAATCACATGTCCTTGAACACATCTGTAAAACACATTGACAGACACCATCCCTCCAGTTTTTCTTGAGGTGAGCAGCTGGCCATACAAAGACAAGGTAACTTCATATTTTTTCATATCATTTTTTTTCCTGGCAATATTACAAATACTGTTGATTGCATGTTGCCAAACATACTTTGGCATGCTCCCGCAAATGCTCCACAATTAGCTTGTCCACTCTGGATGGATTAGGTGGAAGTCTAAGGTTTGTAGCATTTCCAGAAGACAGCCTTCTACCAGACCACAAGTGAGAGATTTCTGCCTCGGTCTATACAAAAAATTATAAACTTTGTAAGCAGAACACTATGGACAACAACTGTTCTTTTTCTAACTAAAAGCAAATAAAACCTCCTTAAATGTGTAATTTTGTACTGCCTAATGTAGATTACGGTTAGCTAAATTGCTTTCTTCTTTGTTATCCTTTTAAGAATACCATTGGGCGATTCCAAAAAGTATCCACACCTATACCACAGATTGCTTTTTGCAATTCTGAGAGTAATTAGAGTTTTTTGAAGTGGAAAGCAGAAGGTATGGGTGCGGGAGGTACCCACGACTGGAATTTTGAAGGCATGGGGGGTTTTCCAGAGGGTACAGACAAGAGTGTGAAAGCACAAATGAATAGACCGCAATGTAGAAGACCACTGAAAGCAAGATACAAGACAAGCATTGATCAATCAGGGATGTGTTCACCTTCATTTACAGAAGAAAAAAATTTGGCATGTACATCAAGCCCCAGAGCTCCAAGGGTTGATGAATTTCTTGTCAGATTAATCATTTGCAATGAACATGCACCTCTCAGATTTATGACACTGACCCACCATGTTTGTTTGTAAGCCACTGCAAAATATACAGCAGCGATACATATTCATAAACTGCTGCAGCAATGTTGTCTAACTGGGTGAATATCATTCATAATGTCTAAATTAAATTAGGCGGGATTTGCACACAGATGTTCAAATCTCCATAGCAATAAGCCATTGACCCCTGTGCCAGCCATAACTGGTCATGAGGAGCATTAGCCTTAGTTCCACTTCTGACATCAACCATACTCAAGTTTTGCAAATGCCTCTTTGAGTAGATTGGAACTAATTTAGCTCATATCCATGCAGAAAAAGTCGATGTCTAAAAAGGTTTTTGCAAAAAAGCTCCAGGCGTCAAAAACAACTGAAATTTTTGTTTCTTCACAAGTTAAAGGGACAGTATCATAAGCTGCGCACATGTAAAACTTCTTTGACATTTACATGCTAAAACATTTGTTTTTAGAGGGGATTTTGAAATGTAATGTGTTATTTTGTAGCTACGGGAAACCAGATTACTCAAAAATAAGTTATTTTGAAGTCTGTTTGAGTCTTTAAAAATAACCTATAACTTGTGCAGTGCTTTCGGCCTGTCGAGTCGCAGTGTGATCAAGACAAGTTCATAAATCCACCAGTGTTACTTGTCTCGTGTAAATATATACATGTGTGAATTTAATACAAAGTTTTGGCATTCGGCCTTCTTCAAGTAGAGGAACATTGAACTAATGAGATAATCTCAGATAGTGCAGAGTGCAATTGATAGCTCTGGCACAGTCGTCCCATAAGTACGCACCCCTGCTTGGTTCACTTCTGGTTTGTATCTACATTGGTAGTCTGCTAGGGCTTTTTCCCTTAGCAGTGTGTACGTTTCAAGGTTGTATTTTCATTCAAGGTCCGAAAATTATGTACAATTACTTTTTTGTCGCGACAGCTTTTAAATTTTACTCTAGTGCTTTACGATGATTCTCGTTCATTTTAAATTCAATAATACTGTACGTTGAACAAACGTGACAATTTAGCTCTTCGCGCCAACTTTGTATCTTGATACTTTTGTTTTCCTCGCAAAGGTATGTAGCATGAAACTCTTGTTTTCTCCAAAACACACGGAAGATGAGCTTGTTTTTTGGGGATAAACGAAAGAAAGTTAAATATCTGACAAAGAAATGGAAGAGAAACGATTTTGTTTTTTCGCAAAATGCAAAGATTCTTATCATGGATTAACAAGAACTAATTTAACTATCAGATAGTCACGCAATACCACTTTCTTTTTCTGTTGCCAACTTTGTTGTTAACAATAAAACAATTCAAAATTAATACACAACAATGTCGATTGATACCACTGGGAAGTGTTTCAATGAGAAGTATTGAAGGTAAACAATGCTACTTGGCTGATATTATTGGTGAACAAGTCTCCTCAAAGACTGATTAAATTAATTTGTGCTTTCACTAGGTGCCAAGGAGTCTGCCGCAATATTTCGTTTCTTTTGTCACAAATTTACAATTTGCAGAAATAACTCGGGACCTTTTTGGTCTCTCTTACAGACACAATTAAGGCAAGAAATAAACAAGCCGCTAATGAGAAGCTACACATTTCCCTTCATTATTTAAACCCTGAAAAACATACTATTGTAGTTTGAAAACAGCAGATGATATTTGTTGAACCAACCTGTAGGTAATTCTAAAAGATACATTTCACATTCGCACTAAAAAGGGGCAAGTGGCACTACCTGACATTACATGACATATAAAAAACCGTGTGGAAACATAGTATATAACACTTACGATGCTAGAGCGCATGCCTCTTACATGTTGGGTTGCACCATAAGGAAAACCACTCAACATTTGTGTGGTATCCCGTAATACATGCAATGTATCCTCCACCTAATGTATAGAAGACACGAGTGCTAACTAATCTCCACGTGCGTTTAGGGCAAATTGGTTTTGCTCTAAAGAGAATAGTACCACAAGGAGAGCAAGGGGTTACTTGAAACAAATATATAGCTTTGCGATGTTCACTCCTAACTGATGTAGATGTAACATTTGCATAGGGTACACGTGTTCCTTTCCCACCTCACCCCCACCACTTCCTTGTCTCTAGACTAATTAATTAATTGAAATTAATTAATTAAACAAACATTAAAGTTTACACCTTAGCACCATAGGGATTTAGCGACACAGGGATTTAGCGACATAGGGATTTAGCGACATAGGGATTTAGCGCCATAGGGATTTAGCGCCATAGGGATTTAGTGCCTTAGCAGCAGGCACACCCCAAAACCATCCCAATAGTGCACTCTGCACTAAAAATAGATAACTATTTACAATTAAAAAGCCTACTGTGAATTTACATTCCATCAAATATTTCTTGCACACAGTTAGTTTAACCATGTCATGTGATGCATCTAAAACTAGTAAATATTTAGATGCAAGTGACGTTGGATCATATTCCCCAGTTTTCAAACTTTGCGATTTATGTTTCACCCGAGTAACTTGTTTTATAACGTGGTGCGTGCGCTAGTCCTACCTAACTATTGAGCCACCATGGTAAAAATAAAATGACATGTACAGTTTCATTTTAGCTGCAAAATTTATGTCGAGTTTAGTGGCGAGGTCCTTTTGCTAAAGTTTTGGCAATGTGAACATCATTCTGAACAATCCAAACCCTACTTTGAGTCTTTCACTTTTATGCACCAAGCTAAGATGTTTACTAAAACTAGGAGTATTTCGACTTTTTCTGTCTACATTTTCATTAAGTATTTTGACTTTGTCTGGCTACACTTTCGAAGATGCGAATATTTCATTGGTATTTGACAATTTAAGGAACCAGATTCAGCATTTTCATTCAACTGTTGCTCAACTGATTGTGGTGTGTTTTTACCCAGGCAATCAGATCCTTTGTTTTCTTTCACTGCAAATTGTGAGAACTTTGTAGTCAATCACGAATAAACATGTTTTAGCACCCAAGTTGTTGTCGCTATGTTATGAAAGAATTGGTTCATGCTTTTAGCTGTACCTATATCGAGTTACGGATGCACTTGGGAAGTTTGGAGAGAACTCACGAAGGCTAGAAGTGCTCTCAGCTGGGCCTCGAGCAACTCTTACACTTCTCTTGTGCGCTCCAAACTCCCCGCATGCATCCATAACTCGATATACACTTGCTAAGCATGAACAAATTCTTTAAAATTGAATAGAACTAAACATTCTCAATTTCCGCAGACTATTTTGAATGCTGACTGAATTATGAGTGGCCTTGAATAAATATATTTATTGGAGGTTAACACAAGTTGGCCATACTGGCAACATCACTTCTACCCAAGTTTGAGTCCTTGGTTGCTCAGCTCAAGATGGGGCAAAACTTCATTCAGGGTAAAAATGTCTTAGAAAATTAGGGGGGTCTTCCTTTTAGAGTTTTTGGGGCCTTATGGTCTTAGTGTGTTGGGTCTTTGTTTCAGAGGTCTTTATTTTAGAGACACCCATTTGAAGGCTAGGTGAATGTAGATTCCATTGTAGATAATAATTTAGAGGCCACGATACATTAAACAACTAAAAAATCAAGACTTATTTCACTCTATTTTCCATCAAATTGCAACACGATCCATTTATCTTTAAACTTCACAGGGCTAACCAACTCAGGTAACCTTTTTTTCCTCCATTAAATCTCCAAAGATTTCTAAGTTAAATACTCTATTTGAAGGGTAAGTGAATGTAGATTCCGCAGTACATTAAGATTTAGAGGCCACAATACATTAAACAGCCAAAAAAGCATGCCATATTTCACTCTACCTTCTGTTGAATTGCAACACGATCCATTTATCTTTCAACTTCACAGTGCTAACTGACTCAGGTAAATTATGTTGTTCTCCACAACATCTCACAGATTTCTAAGTTAAACACACCATTTGAAAGCTAGGTGAATATGGATTCTGCAGTATGTAATGATTTAGAGGCCACTATATGTTAAAGAGCCAAAAAAATCACACGGTATTTCACTCTACTTTCAGTCAAACTGCAGCACAATCCATTTATTTTTCAGTTAGCCGACTCATGTAAATAACTTTTTTCCTCCATTGCATCTCCAAAGATTTCCAAGTTAAATATACAGTTTGAAAGCTAAGTGAATGAAGATTCCACAGTACATTAAGATTTAGGGGCCATGATATGTTAAATAGCCAAAAATCATGCTGTTTTTCATGCCGAAACAAATGTGTCTTTCACTGCTTCTAATAATTTCCACTGACAACAAAACTACTCAATTTTGATTGGCAAATAAGGAGTGCAGTTCTCATGTAGAGCGTGTAAAACCAGTGAAAATTTGAAACACCAGTGAAAATTACAATGTTCCAGTGCTAAAATGTTTGACACCCATCAAGACAATCAAATAAAAGTCTGTGAATAAGCTTCTCCACCAAAGGAAACAAAGCAGTAAACATAGGCATGCAAGGCATGCAAGAGTTATTTTTTTGTGTGAAGT